GATCGGACATTGTTTCATTCTGCTGTGCATGGGGTCGCTATGAGTCGGTTCTGACTCGATGGCACCTGACAACAACAATGCTGAAAAGCAAGTTTCAGAGTCTCTTCTGACATCCACTTTGGTCTTTTCCTCCTTTTTCTTCTTAAGGGCCTCCTGTTTTCTTTCTGGATGATGCTGTTCACGTCATCCCAGAACTCTTCTGGTCTTTGACTATTACATGTACCTCACATAATGGAATACACAGGAATCAAATTGACTGCATCTTTGGGAAGAGACAGTAGAAAAGCTCCATATCATCAGCCTGAACAAAGTTAGGGGCAGACTGTGGAATAGAATATTAATTGCTTATGTCCACGTTCAGGCTGAAGATGAAGAAAACTAGAAGTCCATAAGAGCCAAACTATGACCTTGAACATATCCCAGCTGATTTTAGAGATCACCTCCAGAGGAAATTTGATTTTATGGGGCATCTATAAAATCACTGTGAGTCAGAATTGACTCAATGGCAGTTGGTTTATCTTTTAAGGTGAAAAGATTACTATATCTTTCCTCTACAAAGCAGCTGGAGGATTTGAGTCTCCAGCCTTCACTGTTTGCAGTCCAGCATTTCAACCACTGCATCACCATGTTCATTGTACCCTTCACGGTGTTATAAAAAGGGAAAACAGATGGGGAGATAGTCATATACAGGAGGTAAAAAGCAAGCACCAACAACCTTGCCAAGACACTCTCTTCCATCTGACTAGGACCTGGTTGAAACATGTCAAATCTCTTACCGTTTTGGAAGTGGAGGGGATGGAAGACAAAAAGACCCCTGAGACCTGGGACTGGGAACTGGCCTTGGATTTCCTGATAATCCATCGCCTGTATTCTGCTCGAACCTGGAGAGGAAGACAGTAACAGTGAGTGAATCAACCCAGATGCAGGAACATGGGTCTACACAGGCATGTCCCACATAGGGGGCGGGGATTTAGAGATGAGAAGTGGCAGCAGTCACACACCTGACGGCTGAGCAGGCAGTGGATGAGGAAGATGAAGGCCCCCTGCAGGCTGTTGATGATGGTGAAGACGTAAGCCATGAGACTGGCTATGCCTCCAATCTGGAAAAAGCCCAAGACCCAGGAGCAACCTAAGACAAAAAGCTGGGCAAAGGCCTTGAACGTCAGTAACCTGGGGGAGAAGAATTTATAAAAGATAAGTTTCAAGGAGGCGCTTCTGTGTGGTGCAAATGCTTAAGCACTCAACTGGTAGCTAAAAGGTTGGCAAATCAAACCCACCCAGAGGCACCTTGGAAGACAGGCCTGGTGATGTGCTTCTGAAAGTTTACAGCCTTGAAAATCCTACGGAGCAGTTCTATTCTGCACACCTGGATTCACCATAAGTCAGCATCTACTTGAGGGCAATTAGCAGGAATACCAATGCTTGGAGATATTCTATTCTGCACACACGGGGTCTCCATGAGTCAGAATCAACTCAAGGGCAATACTCATACTTTCCAAAAGTTGTCAATAGCTTATCATGATCCACACAATTGAAAATCTTTGCATAGTCAATAAAGTACAAGTAAACATCTTTCTGGTATTCTCTGCTATCAGCCAAGATCCATCGGACATCAGCAATGATATTCCTCCTTCCATGTCCTCTTCTAAATACAGCTTGAACCTCTAGAAGTTCTCTGTCAATGTATGTTTGGAGCCGTTTCTGTATTACCTTTAGTAAAACTTTACTTGCATGAAATATCAAAGATACTGTCCAATGATATCCCAGTTCTGTTGAATCACCTCTCTTTGGAATGGGCACAAATACAGATGTTTTCCAATCAGTTGGCCAGATCTTCCAAATTTCTTGTCATAGATGAACGAGTGCTTCCAGTGCCACCTCACTCTCTTGAAAGATTTCAATTTTTATTCCATCAGTTCCTGGTGCCT